ACTTTTAGATGCTAAAATAAAGAAAATTAGGGGTGGACCGAGTTCGTTTCTGTCATGCTTAGCAAATTGCAAGGGGATATCTTGGCTATAATTAATCCCAGGAAGACTTCCCAGGAAGACTCAGGTTAGTGTCTTTTATTCAGTGACAGTGACACTGCACAAAAAGTTTCACTTGGGATAACAAAATCATCCCACCGAGACACTTTAGCTGGGCCTATCTCTGAGAAGCAAATACATGGCCCATTTCATCCAAGGGATGCATTTATTCCTGGAGAGTTTTACAATTTCCTCAGTCAGTTTCTCTCCAGGTTCTGTTTTCCTCCTTTGAGAACCTGCCTGCATCATCTCTGAGGAGTTGGCTCCCAGGGGCGGGTAGGTGACTGTCACCTTGTCACCTTGACCACATGTGACTGGGCCAGTAGTTGTCCCTACTTCAACTCTTTTTTTTTTAGAGGGAGGGAGGGAGGGAGGGAGAGAGAGAGAGAGAGAGAGAGAGAGAGAGAGAGAGAGAGAGAGAGAGAGAGAGAGAATTTTTAATATTTATTTTTCGGTTTTCGGTGGACACAACATCTTTGTTTGTATGTGGTGCTGAGGACAGAACCCGGGCCGCACGCATGCCGGCAAGCGCGCTACCACTTGAGCCACATCCACAGACCCCCTACTTCAACTCTTGCCAATAGCGTTCTCTCTCCTGAGGGTTGGCATGGGGGCTGCTGAGATGCTCCTGAAAGTTTGTTGAACATTTAATTAAAAAAGATCTCCAATCAAAATGTTTTACTTGGCTCTTGTGTGAAGAAGCAGAAAGAACTGATGAGAAGCCAGAGGTGGGGGGGTGCAGAATAATGACCTTTTGCAGAGAGATGTTAAGACACCAATTCATTTCAGAGATACTGAAACACCTTGTCTTTGCTTTCTATTGTCATTTCCAATATTTTATGGATATTAATTGGACTCTGTGCCCTTGACTTCCATTTTACACTCTTGTACCTTGTTTACAAGTACACCTGTTCTCTTTCTCCTTTGGTGTGTGTATAACTGGAGAGGATTTATTTATTTTTGATTCTGACATTTTGACTTCTTTTGAATATAAGTCACTTTTTTTTTCAAGCAAAGAAACAGAATCAGCCTTAGGATGTGGTCCTCCAGGGATCCAAGCCATGTCTTGAGATCATCAACAGAATGACATGATAGCACAGGGGCTAGTCGTAGGTAAATAGCAACTTGAAATAGCAACTACTTATCTTTATTTTTTCATTAGGGAACAGCCAAAAATTTAGTCTTTAAAGGCACTGGTGTGGATCCATCTGTAATATTTTTTACTTTGTTTTTTAGTGGCAAGATCCAGGATTTTTTTTTTTTTAAGCCACAGAATAAGTTTTCAAAGTATAAGCACTGTCTCTGATAACCAATTCTTGGCCAGTTCTGATCTGGTTTCCCAAGAGGCTAGCCTGCATATAATTTGGGTCATTCTATCCTTTGTAGATCAAGATGTTCTATCTATGATGCCTTTAAAGATTGGACTTTTGGCTGTTCCCAAATGGAGAGGATTTTATTCCTTATAACCCAGGGATCCTGAGACAGAGTCCCTCCACAGCCTCACCTATGACCATCAATAACATTTTCAAAATGGCACCTTTTAAAACAGAGTGGAGCTCATGGCCCTATGACTAGGTCCTAGAAGTTCCAGGATCTAGTGTCTTAACACCATGTGCCTTGGTTTATCTGTCACTGATGCTTCAACATGTACTTTTGCTGCTTTCATTCTTTGCTAAAATAGATTCTATAATTGATATCTCCCTCCGAAGATCGTGACTTTCCATCTGGGATGGATTTTTTTTTTTTTTTTTTTTTTTTGGAAAATTCTTCCTGGGTAGTCCAGAGGGGTTGGAATAGCTCCAAGATTCTCCAAGACTCACACCCTTGGCCAGTCTCTCTTTTTTTTCCCCCCTTCTCTGAAAGTTGTGAATTTGACCTTTTCATTGGTCACCGAGATTTCCATATTTGGCTGCTTGTGACTGAGACACAAAGGGCTTCGAGAGGGAGGACAGCCCACAGAGTTCTATTTGAGGAATGCCAAATGGTTCTCTGGGGCCCAGCTGGTATTGCTGTCACTCGCAAGGTGCCTGAAATGTGCATGGCTATTTTTGTCAAGTTATAATATTATTGCTCACAATAAAATCTAATATTAAAACCAAATCAACATTGCCCTCGGGGAGGACAGAAAACTTTCAAAGCTGCTACTTGTGAGACTGGAGGAAAAAAATCAAAAGTTCTGGGCTTCCGTTTCCTCATCTGTAAGATGGTCCTAATGATAAGACCTACCTCACAAGCGTGTTGGGGGGTAAAGTGAGTTATGGTTTGTCAAGTGTTGAGAAAAGTGACCTGTACAGAGTGTCATTCTGATGTTTGTAAGAAAAAAGAAGAAAATTTTCCTCTGCTTTTCCTTCCCACTTGATGCCAGGCAAACAGCTCAAGGCAGGAAGACTTTGAAAGGTGGCCATAAAGAATTTTCCGGAACTTCTTTTTCTTTTTTCTTTTTGTACTGGGAATTGAACTCAGGGGTGCTTAACCACTGAGCCACATCCCCAGCCTTTTTTTGTATCTTATTTAGAGACAAGGTCTCTCTGAGTTGCTTAGGACCTCGTGAAGTTGCTGAGGCTGGCCTTGAATTCTCAATCCTCTGGCCTCAGCCTCCTGAGCAACTGGGATTACAGACTTGAGCCGCTGTGCCTGGCCCCTTTTTTTCTTCTTTGATTAAATAATTGAGTTTGAATGCTTCTATTAAACACACCTGCCTCCTGCTAAAGTGGCCCTAGAGTGGAAAGTCTGGAACTTTTCTTGGTCTGAGCTCTTGGACAGAGGTTTGAGGTTTGCAGAGGAAAGTGTCAACGAGTTGAATTTGGGTGGGTATGGAACTCTGCTACATGTGGTAACACCTCACCAGATGCAAAATTATTAAAAGTTGTTGTCTGTTTTGAAAGGGTTTTGCATATGTGTGCGCTCTGCAGGGTTGGTGTGGGAAAAAATCAGAGGAGAGAGAAGGACCTGGAAAATCACAATCATTTTTAAATGAAGCAAAGTTTGTCTCCCCCTGAAACAAAGAGATTCACTTTTTTCCTGAAGTGACATTTCTATGCGTGTGTCTGGGGTTGTGCTCCAGACCAGCCTCCCCCAGCACCCAGACTAGTGGGGCAGCCTTGGTGGGCCATGTTGCCACTGATCATGGCCCAGGGACTCGGAGCAGAGGGTTGGACCCAGACTCTTAAAGAGCCCACCCAGCTTAAATGTCCCTGGCCAGAGCCTCGGCATTCTGCACTCGGAGGAAGCAGAGAGGTGCCATCCCCCTAGTGTTTGGCAGAAAAGGGATGGTTTGGTGAAGAGCACATGCTGCCATCTTTACATGCATGGAGTCCTACCAGCTATCGACTCCTGGAAGGTAAAGGCTGTGACTCATCCTCTCTCTCTCTCTTTTTCTTTTTTGGGTGGGAGGGTGGTTACCCACTGAGCCACATCCCCAGCTCCTCTTTTGTATTTTATTTAGAGACAGGGTCTCACTAAATTGCTTAGGGCCTCACTAAGTTGCTGAGGCTGGCTTTGAACTCGAGATCCTCCTGCCTCAGCCTCCAGAGCTGCTAAGATTACAGGCATGCGCCACGGCATCCAGCTCTGCCTGTCTCTAAACACCAGCTTATAGTAAAAGTGTGATAAACCTGAGGTGACAGGCTCGCTGTTGAAGCTTTGTGACTGGAACAAAATGGGCGCAAAGGACCAGAACACTTACTTGGTCTTCCCTCCCCTTGTGCTGGGATCGTGACTGTGGAGTTGGTTATCTGGGTGACCTGAACCCACATTGGCCCACTGTGAGCCTCAGCACCTGCAGCTGAAAATGTCCTTTGTAAAGATGGACCAAGAAGGCATGTGTGAGCCCAGGTGTGTTAAGCTTGTGACTCTGGCTGTTGCCTGGTGCCATCTCTGGGGGCCTGTATGTGCCTGTCAGCAGCTGCTAGACTGCTCCTCCGAGACCTGTGGTCCCCAGGCACATCCCTACATGAATAAAAGCCTTTGAAAGGGTCTGTCTGATTGGTTGAGGCATTGATATGTGTCTCTCTGTGTGTAATTATATATATATATATATATATATATATATATATATATGTATTTTTTATTGTAGAAGGACACAATATTTTTATTTTATTTACTTGTTTGTATGTGGTGCTCAGAATCGAACCCAATGCCTCACACGTGCTAGGCAAGTGCTCTACCCCTGAGCCACGACCCCAGCCCCTGTGTCTATGTGTGATTTAAATGCAGGAATGCAGGAGGTAGTCATGGGGGTGGTGTGGGTCTTTGGAAGAGGACCACTTTTAGATCATAAGGTTGGTTAAATCATCTTGTTAAACCGTGAGCAGGTGACAGGGATGGTATTGGGGGTATTAATTTTAAAGTCAGGCTTACTTAGGGGTAATTCATAATCACCCTTCTCAGGGTGCAGTGCTAAGAGCTTGACAAATTCCCTTGTGCCTGTTTGTGAACGATCTCATTTCCCACCATGTCCCTGGCATCCAACTGTTTATTTATTATTATTATTTTTTTTAATAGAATATCAGGAAAGCTTTGACCTTTGAACCCAGGTCAGATAATAAACTCTTTTAGCATCCCGTATCCCTTACTGTTATTATAACTATGTTGTATTTAGAAAAAGTGTTCATTGTCCATCTTTTCTGTTGGAGACCTGTCAGCATGCTGGAAGGAGGGGACTATCTGGTCATTCTTCTGTATCCTTGGCAGCGTCACCGAGTAAATGCTCAACAGACATCATAGAATGAATGAATGAATGAAAGACTCAGTGTCTATGAGAAAAATGCTCTATGTCACTGTGGACTTAGCAAAAGCAGTTGGATATTCATGTATCATGTTGTAAAGCACGGCACACGAGTAAAGGATGATCCAAACATCTCTGACGAGTTATACAAGTCTGAATATCAATAATCAGAACCATCTGAGATTCAGGATCAGTATATTCAACCAATTACAAAAAGAAGGGAAAAAAAATCTTTGATCATTAGACACCGTGCTCAGACGTTATTTTATCTACCCTCATATTTGAAACTGTCACTTGTCATTTTTTGCACTCCAAATATCTTGTAGTAGATCTGACATGACAGTGACGCTCAGGAGCAAGATCATGAAGTCCTCGAAATCAAGCTTATTTTCTGTGTGCTCCTCCAGCTCAGAAAGGATGTCTTGGTAGTTTGACTTGGTTTCCTGTCCCTGCGAGAAGAAAAAGGAAGGAGGAAAAATCTCATTCATTGTGAAAACCTTGGGTTTACAGATAATAAGCACAGATAAATGTTTTCAACAGATAACATGCAGGTTGTCACCCGTATTACCAAAGAATGGCATGAAATCTCTTCTTGGGCCGGGCATGGTGGCGTATGCCTGTTATCCCAGCAGTTTGGGAGGCTGAGGCAGGAGGATTGCGAGTTCAAAGCCAGCCTCAGCAATGGAGAGGCCCTAAGCCACTCAGTGAGACCCTGTCTCTAAACAAAACACAAAATAGGGCTGGAGATGGGGCTCAGTGATAGAGTGCCCCTGAGTTCAATCCCTAGTACCCACTCCTCCAAAAAATCAGTTTGTGGGTTATCTCATTTGATCCCTGCAGTGACCTTTCTGAATATGTACTATTATTGTGCCCTCTTCTGATGCTGTATCAGAACTTAGTGATATCGAAGCAACTTTGCCTCAAGCTAAGCAGCTTTGGGTATGGAGCTAAGATGTGTGCACTTGGCTGTCTGATCCTAGAGCTCTGGCTCTAAAACCTGCTGCGCTGTCCTGCCCTTTTCTTGAACACAGATATTGTTGCATTTTCAGATTTTCAAATTATATCCTTTTTTTTTTTTATGGGAGGCATCCGTTATGTCTTCACCTGAACTGTAAGACCATCCTGCAATACAGGAAAAACGATGCCGAAAGAAAGCAGGTACTGGGGAAGCTTGTTCGGCATTTAGTTTGATCATAAATCAGATCCAAGTTTGTGGTCCTCATAAACAGACCCAAGGAAACTATCTGAGTAGCATGTGAGTGGAGAGGCTTCTCAGTGTCAAACCCCTGGATCAATAAAACATAAAAGTCCTTTGGTTCTTCCACCCAACTGTTCCCATTGACTTCAGCCCCTGTGCTGGCTGCTCAAAACCCTCCCAGGAGGAGGGAGCGCTTCGGGAATGATGGGGGTGCTCCCTCTGCAGGCTGGGACCCTGCTTTATCAGCTTTTTCCCTGCTCTGACTAAAAGACCTGACCAGCACAACTGCACAGGAGGAGAAGTTTATCTAGGGGCTCCCGGTTTCCAAGGTCTCAGTCCCTAGACAGCAGGCTCCATTCCTCAGGGCTCGAGGGGAGGCAGGACATCATGGAGGAAGAGTGTGGTGGAGGGAAGCAGCTCACATGGTGATCAGGAAGCAGAGAGAGACTCCACTCTCCAGAGACAAATAGAGACCCCAAAGCCACGCCCCCAATGCCCCCTCCTCCAGCCACACCCACCTGCCTCCAGTCACCACCCAGTTAATCCCATCAGGGGTTCATTCACTGGTTGGGTTAAGGCTCTCACAACCCAGTCATGTCTCCTCTGGACCTTCCTGCACTGTCACATAAGTGAGTTTTGGGGGACACCTCCCATCCAACCATAACACACTGATTTAGGGAATCTCACAGAACTGGGCTGTTGGGTCAAGGTGGCATTCTGACATCTCTATAAAATTGAACTGTCACCGTTGATCCTGAGACTGCCTGGGATGAACTGTCCTCTGGAGTCCCCTGCTCTCTAGTTCCTCTCATCTCAAGCAGAGGACAGCATACACTTAAGCCTAGGCATGTCCACTGCAGGCATGGGCTGAGTCTTGGGTTTAGTCTGCACCAAGGGTCAGGAGGCGGAAGGTCTTTCCTAATGACTGCTTTTAATTTTTTCCTTTGATATCCTCAGAGGGATCATCAGTGACATCAAGGTGATGATCCGCTAAGTCTTAATTTTCATGCTTATTAAAAGCCCTCTGAAGCCTTTCCAAGACACCAGCTAGGAAGCCTTTTTTCTCTCTGAGATATGCCATTTATTTTAGCCAAAGATAGAGTGAATATTACATGATTTATTCACACCTCTCTTTAAAGAGTCCCCCCAAACTTTTCAATCTCTTGACAAATTCTGCCTAATATTTCTGCCTAAAAATAACATTTCCTTAAAAACAATGCATCTATAATATAGAACATTTAAGGGAAAAATGTTTTTATCTTTCTTTCTTTCTTTCTTTCTTTCTTTCTTTCTTTCTTTATTTATTGTTTTGTGCTGCAGATTGAACCCAAGGTTGCTTTACCACAGAGCTACATCTCTAGCCCTTTTTATTTTTTCATTTTTAGATGGGGGTCTCACAGAATTGTTGAGGCTGGCCTCCAACCTGAGATCCTCCTGCCTCAGTCTCCCAAGTAGCTGGAATTACAGGTATGCACCTTTGTGCCCAGGTTGAAAAATGTTTTTAAAAGAATGAATATAAATATAACCCTTACCCCATTACCCAACTATAGCTAACCCTTATTAACATTCCTGTCATTTTTATGTGTACTACACTACACTACACAGACACACACACACTCTCTCTCTCTCTCTCTCTCTCTCTCTCTCTCTCTCTCTCTCTCTCTTTTGGAATAATCATAGGCTCATAGGAATCAGTACCCTAGAACTGGCTTCTCCCAGTGGGTAACAACTTATATGACTTAGTGCACTAAAACAATATATGCATATGGGTATATGTACATGTACATACATGTGCATTGCACATAAAGAGACTAGTTATCTTTATAGTGTATCAGAGCACCTATAGAAACTTAGAAACATCCTCGATTTTTTTTTCTACTTACCAATAAACATTGGTGGTTTAAGCACACAAATCTTTTATTCTTACACATTTTCCCTAGGCCAGTCTTACCCAAAGTATGAACACGTACTCATGGTAGAAGGTGACACAGTTTCAGATGACACACGATTAAAGGTTAAGTAAGAATTCATAGTCATCTAGATTTTTAACTCTCTTCCATTTTTGCCCATTGAATTCACGTTTTTTGAATATGATAAAGTAGTCTTATAAAATGAACGTATGTAGACATAGAGAAAATGTAAAGGAAAAGTTCAAAGTATTTGAAGATACAGGCTGTAGACGGATGTGGAAATAAGATGGCATTCAAATGGCCCAAGTGTGAGGCATATGCCCCTCAGTGGTGTAGGTTACTCTCTTTAGGTCTGTGACTGTTTATATACTGCCAATTCTTTTTTGGAGGGGAGGGGATTCAACCAAAGGGTGCTTAACCACTAAGCCACATCTCCAACCCCCGCCCCACCGACTTTTTTTTTGAGACAAGGTCTCACTAAATTGCTGAGGCTGGCCTCTAACTCACAATCCTCCTGCCTCAGCCTCCCGAGCCACTGGGATTACAGGTGTGCCCCGCCAGGCCTGGCCCAACTCTCACTTCTGCATTTCAAACACAGCTGTCTATTCTGCCCTCTCAACTCATGCATCCTGTGGTTTTCTCACTTGAAACTTTCATGGATGTCTGAAAATTGGCATATTCTAAGGGAACGACTTCCTTTACTTCCTCCCAGATAGATAACCCCTCCCACCTCAATTCTGCGTATTCTGCGTCTTTCTCTTTTCTGGGAACAGATCCGGCATTGACTTCTTCTCTAACTCAGAAACTGGGTTGTCACTCATGGGCTGTCACAGCCAATCAACTTTCAGATCCCATTCATTCTGTCTTCCAGATGTCCCCTCCCTCAACTGTCCCCCCAGCTCCTGTGATTTCTTAGACTTGGAAAACCATTTCCAGTTTCCTCCAGCTCTTAGGCTGTTGAGATGAGTTAAATTTGGCTTCTCCTGACCTCTCTGGTCTTATCATCCACCACTTCCTACTTCCCACCCCCTCCTTACCAATTGCTCACTCACCTTCCAGGTTCCTGATCTGCCCCGGGGACTTTGCATGTGCATCCCCTCTGCTTGGAAAGCCAGCCTTCCCACTCCTTGCCTGGCTAACTCCTGATTGCTCTTCAGACCTTAGCTATACCTCGGTGTTCCAGGAACCTGCCTCTGACCTCTCGCCCCAACAGTTTTACTCTCACTCCCTGCTCTACTCCTACATGTCTTGTGAACATTCCTAAAGACGGTTTCAGTATATTTCTTTACTCTGCTGGATCATTTGCTTGTTTATTGCCTGAACTTCTGTGCCCCCGCTCAATGCCTGGCATGCAGTAGGTGCTCAATAAACATCTGCTGATTGCAACAACTTGATGGGGCCTCGAGCTGGGAGTTGGTGGCTCTTGGGGCCAGCTGTTAAGATGTGGCCCCTATTTATTCATGCAGGAAAATTCTCTTACCTCTGTGAAATTCCTAAATTGAGTTTGCAGCAGATTTTTGGCAGTAGCTTTTCCAAGTTTGCCATCAGGGTCAGAAGAGTTTCGGAAAATCAAAGCGGCAGTAGCAATGGCTTTTTCCAGATCTGAACCCTTCTTTAAAGCTGTGAGGAAAGACATGTGCATTGAGGTCGGCTATCTTGGAAATGACCTTTCCCCAAACAGGGGGCTATTTGTATCTTCCAAGGAAACTCTGGGCAACAGATTTGGGAGGTGTACATCAAAGACACAGTCCCTGGTCCTTTGCCCCCAGCTGGGAGCTGGATACAGAGGTTCCTGATCCTGGATCTTTAAACAGTGCAGAACAAAATTTCCCTTAGTAGCATTTAGAATTGGTAGAATTAGTATGATACTTAACACCTGGTTTCTCGGTAACCTTGGAAAAACACCTCACCTCTACGCCTTGGTCTTTCTGAGTTGTAATTTCATTCAGTTACTTAACATACATTTATGGAACACCTACTATGTGTTGGGCTCTGTTTTAGACAGCTTTCTCGCTGCTGTGAATGAGAGACCTGAGCAGAACAATTGTAGAGGAGGAAAAGTTGATTCGGGGGCTCAGGATTTCAGAGGTCTCAGGCTCCATTCCTCGGGGCTCGAGGGGAGGCAGGACATCATGGAGGAAGAGTGTGGTGGAGGGAAGCAGCTCACATGGTGACCAGGAAGCAGAGAGAGACTCCACTCTCCAGAGACAAATAGAGACCCCAAAGCCACGCCCCCAATGCCCCCTCCTCCAGCCACCCCCACCTGCCTCCAGCCACCACCCAGTTAATCCCATCAGGGGCCCATTCACTGGTTGGGTTAAGGCTCTCACAGCCCAGTCATGTCTCCTCTGAACCTTCTTGCACCGTCTCACATGTGAGCTCTTGGGGGACACCTTACATCCAACCATAACAGGCTCAGCCTTTGAGGTTAAGGATATCTCCCTTAATAAAACAGAATCCTATTCTTGTGGAATTTCTATTCTGTGTCAGGCACAGCATCCCTTTAAATACAATAAAGGAGAAGGACTTCCAGGACAAGTTCTCTGATATAAAGGAGGATCAGAGGTCTTGCCCCCAGTCAAGGTGATCTCCCAGCTGGTTGGTGTGGCTTGACCTCCTTGACAGGGGCAGCGCTAATTTATTCCTTCCTAGTGGGTAGCAAAGTGAACACGGGAAAATGCACCAAGTACCATCAAAACAGCTCCAGACTCTGAGCTTTTAAAGTCACCTTTGTATCCACTCCTATAGAATCTGCACAGAACACTTTATAGCGGTTAAATGTTTATCCTCTACAAATAGAAAGCAAATCTCCACAGGGCCAAGGGTCCTATCCCGTATCCCCAGTGAATAGCACAAGTATCTGCTAATAAATGCTACTGAATGAATCAGAAAAAGGTAAAGAAACACAGAGTCTCATAGCTTTCAGCAAAGTTCATGTGCCACAAGCAGAGGTTCAAAGAATGATGTGTCATGGGAATAACGTGGCTTCTGTTACATGGCTGTGTGCTTGGTCCTCCGGTCAAGTACTCAGCACGTGAGGTCCCAAAGCAGATGTGGTCTCTGTTCCCGTATGTCTTATGATCATAGTGGTCAAATCAATAAAGATCAAGAGGATATGTATGTCTGTTCATATGTATCTGTTCATTACTTATGTTTCCATATATGTATCTAGCATGTATATATATATATATATAAGCAACTTGTGATGTATGAGACTAACGAAATCAAGAGCCAGAAACACAATTATAACTTGGGTCTGGGAAGAAAACTACTGAGATAGATAGATGATCTAGAAAGCCCATATGAGTAGATTAATAGGGAAACTTATAGAATGAGAAGGAGCCGCCATGTCAAAGGTGTGTGGGGGTCAAGATGGGGTCGGGGCTTTGTTGAGTGTTTCGACTCAGGGAGCTGCACAGGTGAAGGCTTGTGTCAGAAGGTCTGTTGTGCAAGAGCTGAGGGAAGATGGTTGATTCTGGAGTCTAGCAGCGGGAATGGTGTTTGCCTGGGACAGGTAGGCGAGGACTAGATTGGGCAGAGCCTAGAGGCTGCGCGAAGCAATCAAGGTTTTCTTCAAAGTGGGAAGAGAAGCAGGGAAGAGTTTTAAGCACATAAAATTTCAATGAAAGGTGAAGGAAACCGGGTGGGGTGGTGCAGTTCTGTAATCCCAGTGGCTTGGGAGGCTGAAGCAGGAGGATTTCAAGTTTAAGGCCAGCCTCAGCAACTTGGGGAGGTCCTGTCTTAAAATAAAATATAACAAAGGGTTGGGGATGTGGCTCAGTGGTTAAGTGTCCCTGGGTTCAATCCTCAGTACCAAAAAAAAAAAAAAAAGAAACTGAAGAATGGAGGAAACATACGAATTCTTTAGGAGGTAAATACTTGTTATGTAGTTTGGACCAATTGATTTACAAATTAATAATCCAGGATAACTCTGCCAGGCTTTAGGATGGGATGCTCTCCTGGGTCTGAGGATTTTCTTGGAGGCAGTAGTCACTGTCAGTGGGATTTTCTTTTCTTCTTTTTTCATTTTGGTGGTCTGGGGTTTGCTCAGGGCCTCTCACATGCTAGGCAGGTGCTCTACCACTGAGCAATGCCCCTGGCCCCAGAGCAGTGGATCTTCATGCTGAGAGTTGAGTTTGCAAAGCATGATAGGGACCTTCCTTGTTTACTACATGTTGGGGGCCTTTAAACATAATCTTATTTAATGCTTCAAAAAACCCCACAGTGGTGGGTAGTATTTGTGCCTCGATTTCACATATTAGAAACCTGGAAATGGGAGGTTAATCTTAAGCATCTTGAGTTCACATTGCTGAAAAGTGATAAACACAGCTCTTGAAGGTCTTTCTGGCTTCTAGGCTCATGGAACCATCAGCCACTTTAGAACATCTGTTTGCAAGTCCAGTGGTTATGGAAGGCACTGTTTTTCCAACCCTCCGGTCAAGTTCAAGTGTAGCTGCACTCAGCATGGGGACTCCGTCTGGACTTGCCAACTCATCCTTTTTCTACATTTCTTTGGGAAGACAGCATGCATTCCCCCCCACCCCATAAACTAGCATATGTTCATGGTAAAAACAGAAGTAGGAAATATTTAAAATAAAAAATAACCAAGAGCCCTGGCTGTCCTACTCACCCTGATGATATTTGGCAAAGCGTTTTAGTTTCCTGTTTTTAGGGTTCTTTAATAAACCCAGCAGGTTGCCTCCAGACTTATTCTCTCTCTGATGTGTAGACTTGTGAACTGGTTGTGTGAAGGCATATTGCAAAGGTCCAAGTGCAATTAGAAGCATAAGGGATTGCAATTTCTCTGCTGGCGTCTGTTTTTCTTTGGCGGGGGGGAGGATACCGGAAATTGAACTCGGGCACTCGACCACTGAGCCACATCCCCAACCTGATTTTGTAATTTGTTAGAGTCTGTAAACAAGTCAGGATGGCGCCTGGTATTTTGCCAGGGGGAGTGGTTTGTGAGGTGGCCCCAGCAAGCCATTAAGTGTGGAGATTCCTTATTGGTTGACTGCTGTATCTAGTTTATGTTAATTAAGATAAGCTGTGTGGAATGTATATATACCCCTCCTGTCCTACAATAAATGGCTCCCACTCCTGCTGTATCAATCTACACAAGTTGCTCATCACCCCCTGGTTATTTTGCTGCAGCTGGACTGCGGCAGTAATTTATTTAGAGACAGGGTCTCACTGAGTTGCTTAGGGCCTCATTAAGTGGCTGAGGCTGACTTTGAACTTGTGATCCTCCTGCCTCAGCCTCCCAAGCTGCTGGGATTAGAGGAGTCCTCTGAGGGTGCCCAGCTCTGCTGGTATCTTTCGTTGGCTGCCTTGATTCTGGATTGGGGACAGCAGGGAGGCTGCTCGGCTGGGTTACTTCACGTGACCTCTTCTGCTATTTCCCTCATGCATGTTTTTTACTTTGATACTAATTGGACTGTGTGTGGTTCTCTGAATACCCTAAACCTCCCACAAGTATGTATCAGTGAGTATTTGCTGCTGAGCCCTGTGCTAGTTCTGGGTGTAGAACAATGAACAGCATTTGAGTAATCCCTGACTTTGGGGAGCTCATGTTCTGGTGGACAATAGTAATGAATGATTTTGGAGCCCAGACTCTCCACACCAGTCATTGCTCTCTGGGATGGATGTCTGTCATTCCACTGATGGATTCTTATGTGAGTCCTATAGGGTAGGGTCCTGGTATCATCTACACTTTATAAATGAGAAAATGGAGGCACAGAGAGATTAATTAGATTACCCAGAGTCACACAGCTAATCTGGTTCCTCACCCCAGTGTACTCTGCCTCTAGGGTTTCTTTATTTTTGGGGGGGTCCTGGTGGGGGAGAGAGTAGCAGGGCTCTTTACCAAATCCCCAAATAGGGTGACATATCCCTTCTTTATGCTTCTATAGGCCCCTAAACATAACTTCTCTGTAACCCTAATGCTGTTTGTCAGTCTATTTTCTTTTAAAAATGTTTTTATTTGCTCTTTTTAGATATTAAGGACAGTAGAGTATATTTTAACATACATACATGGAGTATAATTTATTCTAATTAGGATTCTGTTCTTGAGGTTGTATAAGATGTGGAGTGTTTACCTGTTTTAATTGTCCTCTGTATCTATGCTGCCCAAAAGATATATAATGTGAGTCATAATCATATTTTAAGTTTTCTGTTAGCTACATTAAAAAAACTAAAAAGAATCAGATAAAATACTTTTACTATTTATCTACATATTTTTGGGTACCAGGGATTGAACTCAGGGGTGCTTAACAACTGAGCCACATCCCAGCCCTTTTCATTTTTTATTTTGAGACAGGATCTGGCTAAGTTGCTTAGGGTTTTGCTAAGTTGCAGAGGCTGACCTCAAACTTAGGATCCTCCTACCTCAGCCTCCCAAGCTTCTGGGATTATATGCACATGTCTCTGCAACTGGCTAATAATGTATTTTATTTTGCTTGATATGTGAAATATTATAAATTCAACAGGTCATCAATATAATACATTGAGAGATTTTATAAGTTTTTTCCTACAATTTTTTTCCTACTAAGTCTCTTAAATCCACAACTGAATTCAAAGTAATCCCCTTTCCAGTGCTCAGCAGCTCCATGTGGCTTGTGGCTACCATACTGAACAACGCAGCCCTAGACTGTGTGGTCCCTGAGGGCAGTGGCCACATCTGTATTATCTCTGCATCTGTGCCCAGGCCCTGGGTGTTGTGTACACGTGTTAAGCTTTGCTGACTTGAACGTCAGAACGATCCTCTGCCTCTCCCTCCTCCCCTGAGCTGGAACACAGGACACTAAACATCGTGCCTGAGTCAGATCCTAACACTCTAGTGTCAGAGAAGCACCACTCCTGACGTGACAAGCTGTCGAATCACCTCAGTTGAGAACTTTTCCTAATGTCAGTTACTTTTGCAAGTGAGTAAATGGAAGATCTATAGCAGAGAAGCCATTTGCCAAAGCTCATGGAGGTAGCCTATGGCAGAATGGACAGCTAGGAACGCCTTTATTCTCTATTCTGGAGGCCAAAAGTTTCCCTACGACTCTGGTGCTTCCCAAACTTTTCACTCCAAATCTGCCCTGGGTGTTAGAGGTATATAGGTACTCACCCTGCACCCCAACTGCTCAGGAGGTCAGGGCATAAACCAAGAGAATGAGCTCTCAATTCCATGATCTGTGCATGTTTGATTTCAGTGAATAACAGTTAAAATGATGTACTGTTGTATAAAAACACATTCTAGGAAGCTGAGTCATGTTTACCCTGTGGTTTGTTAAGGCATGAGATTACATGTGGTTTGTTTAAGGAGTCTGGGGCTAGGAATGGTGTGTGTGTGGGGGGTAGGGGACAGGGGAGAGGTTAGTGGGGTTTAAATAGTTATAATCCCCCTTCAACCTTCCAGGGGGAAAAGTTGTCTTTAAAAATCTGCTGGAATAATTCTCAAAAGAGCCTGGAGGATAGATGTGGTGGCACACACCTGTGATTCAGCAGCTCGGGAGGCTGAGGCAGGAGGATCGCAAGTTCAAAGCTAACCTCAGTAACTTTAAGGAGGTCCTAAGCAACTTAGTGAGACCCTGTCTCTAAACAAAATTAACAAAAAAATTCCCAAAGGGCTGGGGATGTGGCTCAGTGGTTGAGCACCCCTGGATTCAATCCCTTGTACCAAATTAAAAAAAAAAAAACTGTCTGGAATTGTGTACCCTTTAGAAATAGAAACCACGAGTCCATTGTGTTAGATAGTGTAAACAGTATTTACATCAAGGGGGAGATTTGTTTAAATAAAAATCTCAAGACTCTCTTCTGGAGAGAGTGGCCAGCCGTCTAGGAAGAAAACCAGCTGCAAAGGAGAAACATCCAGCTGTGCTTCTTCCTCTGTAAACATGTTCAGCCACGCATTTCGGGATGAGCATGATCCAAGTTTGTGAGTGTTTTCTCTTCTGTTGCTATTTATCCACAGCAATGTTGTTCACTCTAAAGATGCCTTACCTATGCAATTGAATTTCAAGGGCAAATAGTTCCACTTTGGGAGTTGGCCACACGGTTGTCACTCAATGAACAGGTAGCTGAGAGTCGGTCACATCCTGAGTTCCTCTGAGTGTTTGTAAGTCAGATGCTCAGCATCCTCCTCTGAATATCCTGAGGATGCTGCCCGTGGGGAAGCTTTTGGATACCATGGGAAAAACGGGGATCCATCACGGAGCCATAGTCTACTCTTAGCTTTTGCCTTTAATGGTCTCATTTGGGGAAAATCATTGCTGTCACTGAACCCCAGTTCCCAAACCTTTCAGAAAACCTTCATGAATGTTCGGTGATGTGTCTACAGGTTCCTTCCATCTCTGGTATTCTTGCATGGACTACTATTCTAACTCACTCTAGGCACGCCATCACTGTAGGGAGGAAACCCACACATCAGTCACCTCACACCTTACCTTTAATTGAAGCCAGTTGCTTGGATATTGAAATGCTGCCAACAAAATGAAAGAAAAGTAATGATTCTGGGACTTGGAGATATTGATATGAGCATCTGAAGCAAAGCAATACAACGATTGGAAAATCTCTGCTTTTCAATAGATATTCACCGAGCATTCTAGGGCTGCAGCTGTCTGTCGAGCCGAATCCTTTGTTCTCCTGCATGTCATCTAGAAGTACTTGAACGTGGCCGTACCCCAGCCACACATCCCTATCTTCCTCAGAGTTAAGTGGCCATGTGACTGGGGCCAAAGAGAAGAAAACACCTTCTGCTTTAGTCAGTTTTTTTTTTTTTTTTGCTGTGAATCAAAGACCTGAAAAGAACAATTTTAGAGGAGGAAAAGTTTATTTGGGGCTCACGGTTTCTGAGGCCTCAGTCCATAGACAGCAGGCTCCATTCCTTGAGGCCACATGTCTAGAACTCCCAATCTGAACTGTCATATAGGAACAATCCTGGGCCATGGGAATACATTGGGTCATGATAGAGACCTATTCCTTTGGGGCTTCAAGTCCACTGCAGAAGACAGATACTAAAGAAGTAACTCAATAAAGAATAATAATGGAAAAGCACCCACGGAGAGCAGAGAGGGCGAGCCTTGTCTGCAGGCAGGGTGTGGCATTTTGCCTGAGTCTAAGGAATCAGTAGGTGAGGAAGGGGCAAGAGGGTTTCCTGCAGAAGGAACAGTGTGTGCTAAAGTGTTAAGGTGGGAGAAAGTGCGGCTTGGTGGAAGGACCGAAGGAAACACAGTGATTGGAACCTGGAGAAAGCAGTGGAAGATGAAGTCAGGAGCCAGGGCCAGAGAGCAGGCTGAGCTTTGGAGGTCTGTGGTTATTATCTCAAGGGCAATGAAGTACAGGGTCAGGTTTGCACTTGGGAAATTATTTCACCTGCTAATCAGAGGTGGATCGGAAGGCAGGCCCAGTGGCACCTGTCTGCAATCCCAGCGGCTCAGGAGACTGAGGCAAGAGGATCATGAATGAGTTCCAAGCCAGCCTCAGCAACTTAGCAAGGCTCTAAGCAACTCAGCGAGATGCTGTCTCTAAATAAAATATAAAAATGGCTGGGGATGGGGCTCAGTGGTTAAGCACACCTGGGTTCAATCCCTGGTAACAAAACAACAACTAGAACAAAGAGGAGATTGGAAAAGGGTCCAGATTGTTGGAGGTAGGAAGATGGAGATGAATCTTGGTCCTTTAAAGACAGCAAATCAAAGTTTGATGCTCATTCCTGTGACTGGCATACTTTTCAAGAAAGCCAACAAGAACAACAGAAGTTGGTCATAGCTTTGACATTTCCTCTGGAGGGACTTTCAGGTTCAAGGTCCGGTTTTGACATTGAGAAGTTGAGGCACCATTACCTTTAAGGGGCTTCACTTTTCTCACTTGTAAAATTAGGAAACTGGATTTTTTAAAATTTCCTCATTTTTTTATTGGTGCATTTTAGTTCGGCATATTGATGGGATTTGATGTTATATATCAGTACATGCTGGAAGCCTGGTTCTATGATGTCAAGGGCCTTAATGTTATGGTGAGCTCCTTTTGATTTTAGAAAACCTCTGAACCTCTATTGTTACCTCCTTCATGGGAAGAACAAAAAGCCATCTTTTACTTTTCACAGCCTGCACTTGTAACATGGCCTGTTATTTTCTATTGCTGTGATTGATTTTCTGTCTCTTCAGTTGTCTGGGGCCCTTGAGAAGCCAGCACTCTATAGTTTATCCCCATACCTCCCTCCTGTTATGGTTTGGATATGGAGCATACCCCAAAGGCTTCTGTGTTCATGCAGGTGGTGAAATGATTATATTATAAAAGACATAACCTCATGGGTAGATTAATCCATTTGATGGATTAATAATTTGAATGAACTTCTGGGTGGTAACTATAGGCAGGTGGGGTGTGGCTGGAGGAAGTGGGTCATGGGGATGGGGTGCTTTGGGGGATATATATTTTATCACTGGCTCATCTTGCTCTATTTCTGGGCTACCTTGAGCTGAGCATGACATGTGCCTCACCTCAGCCCCAGAGCAATGGAGTCAGCCAACCGTGGACTGAACCTCTGAAACGGTGAGCCCCAAATAAGCTTTTCTTCCTATAAGTTGTTCTTGTCAGGTATTTTGGTCACAGTGTTGGAAAGCAGATGAATACATTACCTCTTGTCTAGCACAGTATAGAGCACTTAATTTTCAGATGCCCCAAACGGTTTTGGGAACTAAAGTTGTAATATTGTACTAAGGAGATGGAAACACAAGATAAAAAATATTTTCCATTAAAAAAATAGTTCAGAAGAAAAACAAATTAAAATTACCACTTTTTACCTGTCAGATTGACAAGAAAACTAAAGGTTTGGTCACACAGTCTGTCAGGGTTCCTGTGGGAAAGCTGAATTCACATATGGAGAATAAACTAGTGTAACACAAAGGGAGGGCAAATTGGCAACATCTCTCAGAGTCACCAATGCATTGACCCTTAGCCCAGTAATTCTCCTTTGGGAAACATGTCCTACTGATATATGTGCATCCATGAAAAAAATGACACATTCAAGATGATTCATTTTGGTATTTTGATACAAGATTGGAAACAAATGTCTAACAATATGAGACTAGTTAAATAAAATATGTGCATCTGTCAAGTCGTATACTATGCAGAAAGAATGAGAATGTTAAAATGATGCAGAAGTTCTTGAGATACATTACTTAGGGGGGGAAAAGCAAGGTATGAAACAATAGTTTCTGTATGTAACTATTTATGCAAAAACAGTTTCGATGTGCTTATATTTCATTAAAGTAACTCTGGAAGGATAAAAAAATATTCCATTTATTTGATCTAAGTTTACACATTTGAATCATGTGAAACGATTTCTCTCTGTCATGGATAATTGGAAGAATATGCTGTACAGTTAAGATCATTACCCCAGTTGATTCACAAATGTTTCTCTGAAGACAAAGATATTTGTGAAATTGCAGGCTCTTTTCAGTCTGTAGTCAAAGCTGCAAGTTCTCTTTGTTTTTCCAATTCAATTTAAACCTGGATTTGGGTGGATCATAGGCACCAAACTTTCAGTATCTCAGCTACCAAGCTATGGACATCAACTAGTTGGAAATATATTTGCAAATGTAAATGAATTCAATAAAAGAAAGTCAAGTGCCACTGACCTTTTGGGCATTTTCCTTAGGTGCTAAAGTGGATCTTGGGGTTGCTGAATGGATTGGACTCCTCTTCCGAGTGGATTGCTTAGCTCTGGGTACTGTGTGTAAGGCCACCTTTCCTCTGGTCCCTTGTGTGTTGGCCTTTCCTAAGCAACAGCCACTTGTCCACTGTTACTATTGACATTTACTCCATGACAACTACACACAGGCACTTCTTGAAGAACTTTTGCTCAGGGTCACGGTATATGAAGACACCGAGTCATTCATGTGTTCAAAAAAGGTTTGGGGCCAGACACTGTCCAGGGCACCAGGGGCAGGATGGCAAGAGCAGACACAGCTCTTGACCTCAGGGAAGGTGGTGAGGTGACCCGCGTGATAGCTTTTCACCACTGTGACCAGAATACCCTGCAAGAACAACTCAGAAGAGGAAAGGTTGGCACTGGCTCATTGTTTCGGAGTATTCAGCCCATGGTCAGCTGGCTCCGATCCTCAGGGCTTGAGGTGAGGCAGAGGGGTGAAGGGTGTGAGGGTGTGGCAGAGGAGAGGGGGGGGGAGAGAGGGGGGAGGTGGGAGGGAGAGAGGGAGAGGGAGGGGAAAGTGCTGGGAAGAAGATATATCCCTCCAGGCACCCCCTACCCATTATGGTTTGATGTGAGGTGTCCCCCCAAAACTCACATCTGAGACAATGCAGGAAGGTTCAGAGGAAACATGACTGGGTTGTGAGAGCCTTAACCCAACCAGTGAATGGACCCCTGATGGGATTAACTGGGTGGTGGCTGGAGGCAGGTGGGTGTGGCTGGAGGAGGGGGCATTGGGGGCGTGGCTTTGGGTCTCTATTTGTCTCTGGAGAGTGGAGTCTCTCTCTGCTTCCTGATCACCATGTGAGCTGCTTCCCTCCACCACACTCTTCCTCCATGATGTCCTGCCTCCCCTCGAGTCCCGAGGAATGGAGTTTGCTGTCTGTGGACTGGGACCTCTGAAACTGTGAGCCCCCAGATAAACTCTTTCTCCTCTACAATTGTCTGGTCAGGTCTTTTAGTCCCCATAGCGACAAAGCTGGATAAAACACCCCCATTGAACTTCTTCCTCCAGCTAGGTCCCAGCTCTCGGTGGTCCATGTCAGCCTGCAGTGGTCCACTTGATTGTTGATTCACTGATGAGGTCAGAGCTGGACTTCTTAACCTTGCTGCAGGGGAGCCATGTTTTCAATGTGTGACGCTGGGGGACATTTCAGTTCCAAACCCTAGCAACTGTTAATCAAGTAGTTGTACGAGATGTCACACCTGTGAAGAATGCTATGTAAGGGGGACGCCACGAGATGGGAGTCTGGGAGTCAGTAAGGCATCCCCAGGGAAGTGGCGCTTGGTGATGAGTAGGACTTAACTAGGGAGAAGAGCAGGGGGTCCATGTTTCAGACAGAAGAGGAGCCTGTGCCAAGCCCTGTGGCAGGAGGGAGCCCGGCACAGGGGGCCAATGTGACTGAGGTGCAGAGTGTGGCTCCAGCTGGGACTGAAGAAGATGCATGGTGGCCATGAAGGAACCTGCAGACCACAGTAGGGGATTTTTAAAGCTATGTCTAAAGAATGGGCAGCCATTGGTGGATTTTAAGCAAGGAGGTTAATGAAGGTAGGTTTATATTTTGAAAAGATCACCCCAGCTTCAGTGGGAATCATGGTTTACAAGGCCAGGAGTGGTGGCACATGCCTGTAATCCCAGCAGCTCAGGAGGCTGAGGCAGGAGGATCTCAAGTTCAAAGCCAGCCTCAGCAACTTAGTGAGGCCCTAAGCAACTCAATGAGACCCTGTCTCTAAATAAAATACAAAAAAAAAGGGCTGGGGATGGGGCTCAGTGGTTAAGCATCCCTAGGTTCAACCCCTGATGCCAAAAAAAAAAAAAAAATTGTGGACAGAGTTAATGCAGGAAGACTGGTCAGGAGGCTGTTCCATTCCTGGTAGATGTGAGTCCTTTCTATAAAAACTGAAGGATGTATCAACTCAGCCAAATGAGTCATTCGGAGAAGATATATCCAACCATTGCATAAGTACCCATGAGCTGAGGAGCGGGAGGAGATGGAAATCTCCAGAGAGGCTATTCATAGGCATTATTCAGGCTTTGAGTTTGCCCTAGTGACACTGCTATCTGATGGCTGCACCACACAGTCACTGTGACCACATTGCTCTCTGATTTCCTATGTTTATCAATGTTCTCTTTATGGGGGTCCCTCTACCTCTTCGTTGATTTCCTTAGCATTTCTAATTCAAGTTCAGGATGGAGCGAGGTTTGGTCGTCTTACTAATTACCACTGCCCATACCAGCTGTGGTTACTTTGTGTGGCCAGTTCCTGTGGGCCAGGCTTGACCCTGAGCTAACCTCACGGCTCCAGTCAAGGTCTAAAGTTGGTTTGCTTAGAAGGTCACTTGGGATAAGATTCCCAGAATCTGGATTGTTTTTTTATCATTTACTTTTTCCCCAATTATTTTTTTGGAGGACATCAGGGATTGAACTCAGGGGCACTTAACCACTAAGCCCCAACCCCAGCCCTTTTTTTGTATTTTATTTAGAGACAGGGTCTCACTGAGTTGCTTAGGGCCTAGCTAAGTTGCTGAGGCTGGCTTTGAAATTATGATCCTCCTGCCTCAGCCTCCTGAGCTGCTAGGATTACAGGTGTGCACCACCACGTCCAGCTACCCACATTTTTTTAATTGGTGCATTATAGTTGTACATAATGACGGAGTTATTGTTACGTATTTGTCCATGCACACACTATAACAATATAATTTTGTCACTATCATTCATTGGCACCTCCCACCTCCCTCCCTTCTTCCCACTGCTGGGTCCCTTTCCTCTACTGAACTCCTTTCAATTTTCATGAGATCTGTCTCACCTTTCTTTTCAGAATTTGGATTTTTAATACACATTCCAGGTGATTCTGATGGGGACTGCTTTGCGGAGCTCTTGGTAATGGATGAAAAGAGACTTTGGAGTGAGTGGAAAGGGTTTGCATCCTGACTCTGCGGCTTACTAGATGCGTTACCGGGAGAAGACCTTTAAAACCACTAAGTCTGCTTTCTCAGCTGTAGATGAATACTCTCCTCATGGAGTTATTGTCAAGGCTGGATGGGTTTGGGTTGGCGAAGCCCTTAGCACCAGGTCTGATGGAGGGAGCAATCAGTAAATAATAGCCCTAGTGAAGATGGTGTTAGATCCTTGTATCATTTGAGTCCTTGCCGGACGGACACAGAATCCAACTCAGATGGTACCGGGGACATTTGTGAAAGGATGACACAGTGGGCAGGGTTAGGGAACTAACACAGACGCTAAGGCACCCAGAGATGAGCAACAAGGAGAAGCTGGCAGTACCCTTGGTCCTGAAGGGGCAAGGGAAATAATAATGGGGTTGGAGAGCTCAGTGAGAGCTGGATTCTTGGAGCAGAGGTCACTCCACAGAATCTCTGGTGGCAGAGAGGAAGCCACTGCTGAAATGCAAGTGAAGCAAGAGGGACTGAGGAAGAAACATCCCTTGCTCTGATCTCTGGCCTGTGCCTCCTGTTACCTAACCTAACCAGGAAACCAGCCGCAAGGGAGCCTGGGAAGTGGAGTCCTAAGGAATCAGCCTGCTGGGTGGGGTGCAGAGAGGGGCGGAGGGTGGGAAGGGAGGGAGAGGGAGACAGAAAGGTGAGAAACAGTTTGAAGAAGATGATGGAAGCCAGTGCTGGGAATCTGAGGTTTATGGATAATCTTTTCATCAGAATTGAAATAGAGCTGGTGTTCTCTGAAAGATCCAGTAGTTTCTGCAGACTGTTCGGGTAAGAATGGGCCATTTGTTTTCCACACTGGAATCGCATCCTATCCTGGGACATTTAGGCTGTTCACACACGGTCATCAAATCATCTGGGGGAGCTGGGCGTGGTGGTGCACACCTGTAATCCCAGCAACTCAGGAGAGGAGGATCAGGAGTTCAAAGCCACCCTCAGCAACTCAGTGAGACCCTGTCTCTAAATAAAAAATACAAAATAGGGCTGGGGATGTGGCTCAGTGGTTGAGTGCCCCTGGGTTCAATCCATGGTACAAAAAAAAAAAAACAAAAAAAAAAAAGAAAGAAAAAGAAAGTCATCTTGGAGGAAACTATATATATATGTGGCACAGGGGACTGAGTCCCAACCTCAGTAAGTTGCTGAGGCTGGTTTTGCCTGTGTCTCCCAAGTTATGCACCGTCCTGCTCAGCTTGGGAGAAAAATAGATATCTATAAATATTAAAAAACATATCTGTCTGTTTCTTTAATATTTAATCTGCCAATGACCAATACTACTCAAATTGATATTTTAAAAATATTATTGTATTTTTATACCTTTATTTTATTTGTTTTTATGTGGTGCTGAGGATGGAACCCAGGGCCTCACATGTGCTAGGCAACCACTCTACCACTGAGCCCCAGCCCCAGCCCCTCGGAAAATATTTTTAAAAACTTCACAAAATGCTCAAGTCGACCTAGGCTTTGGGCAGTGGGGGTACCGAGGGCTGTCAGTTTGCCTAAGGAAATGTTAGGACCCAAAATGGCTCCATGTGGATGTGTTGACAAGCACAAGGGACCCCCTGCCTGCAGGTCTCCTCAGTGGCCTTCTTCTGTGGTGGCTGCAGGCGGTGCGAGATCAGCACAGTATTTCTTTTTTTTTTTTTTTTTTTTTTTTTTCAACTTCAAATTTATTTTAATGATATGTACAGGAGTTAACAAATTACAATTAAAACGGAACAGTTATGTTTATTCCACATAACTTAAAATCATGCAATACTGCATGGTAAAAACAACAGCTTCATTCATATACAAAAAAGTATTATTTTGAGACTCATGATAGTATCTTGAAATTTTTGACATAAGCTTTTTGCAAAAAGCATTTTATAAAAATTTAAAGACCTGATTAATCAGTTAATGCATTGTTAGGAAAGATAATAAACATTATTAGTAAAGTGAGGTTACAAGCAATTAATTTTAAAATTATACCAAGTACAGGATTGAATGTACTCTCAGGAAATAAATGTTAAGAAAATAGTTTTGAAAAAGATCTCATATTGAAGCCATGTATTAATTTTGTTGAATCAGGTTATATAAATCAATAGTCAAGTTTATTCAGTT